TGTCATCGATGTTAGCCTCAACAAGCAGATGGGAGGTATAATAGCTGATGTTGCAATGCCATTATATTTAACTACACTGATAAGTGCCTGTAAAAAAAAACATGAGCTTAATATCGATAACAAGTAGCCTCTCTCCCTTGCCCCTTCCAACATCTCCATCTTGCATTTACTGCTGCCTCCTTTGTCACATTGGGATACCAACGTGAACATCATGTGTAATGTATCCTATTTTCTTTCTTTGGGAAAACGTTTTCTTTGCTTTTCCACTCTTACCTTCACCTCGCCATAAGTCAAGTGTAAAAGTAGACGGGTCCACTACAAACACATCAGTATACATCGCCCCAGCCAGGCAACGCCAAATAACACATCACTGTGATGGATTGTAAGAGTTCTTAGGCCGGTTGGATGCTTTAATGTAATCCTGTCAACACAGAGCTGTGAGGCTTAATGTTGATAAAATGATTAATACAAAAATCCCACAACTTTTCATCGCATTGGAACATTTTTAGTTTGTTTAGCAAGCCCTTTCAACAACTTTTGGATGGATGCTAAATTGTTTTTTTTCTCCAATCCTTTTACTCAAGAGTCACAGCAACACTTCCTACTCTTGTTGTCAGGCCGCTGTTGTAATTGTATACGCATATGTCTCATCTTAAGACATGTTGAAGTGTTTGGAACAAATCAACTCCTGCTTTCTACCAACTGAATTGATCGAAACTTAACTTTTATGACAATGTTTTTGGATATGATGCTCAAAATCCAGTTGTGCTGCAGTCATCAGAAGGAATGTTTTCTGTTAGAAATTCACCCTACACATTCCCCTCCATCCTCATGTCCCTGTTGGCTTTCCTTTGATAAAAGCTCAGCTCTTTTCCTCTGAAGATGAGTGTGTAACAACGCGCTGAGTTTGGCAGCCGTTGTCGATCGATGATGGGAGCTCTGGGGTGGTTTAAGCTGTTAGGAAGAGCTGCTGCTGGCGGTTTGTTTGATTGTTGTGTGTGTGTTTTCATGTCCGTGTGTGTAGATGAAAGCTAAAAGGAGGATGAGTCATTAGGCATTAGCCTTTCATTCACTTGTTTTCCCATATCCTCCCTTTACCCTGCTTTCACTCTCTCTCTCTCTCTCAAGTGTTAGAGTCCAGACATTAAGTGATGGCAAATGCATCAATCAGAATAAATGTGTGGCAATGATTAAGGTGAACAAAAGGGCAGTTTGTTGAATTATCTTTTCCTCCATCCAGATAAGATTTCCTGACTATAACCACTAAAAGCAGATGGAGTATTGCTATTAAGGCTTAACAATAAAAACCTTATCAGTGCAACGAGAACTCTGGCCCGTTCCTTCTTATCGCACACACTGTTCAAATGAAAACACAGCAGCTGTATTAAGCGATACCGAAGTGAATTCCATAGCAAAGATAACATGCTTTTACAAGGGGTCCATAACTCGAGTGGTTTGTTATCCAAGGTGAAAAGCTACTTAACAGTCAAGATCTGCCCTCTGTCGCACATTCACAGCCCTGTACCCTACTCACCAACTCTCACTTTCTTTCGCACATTACACACACATTTTTGTAATTTTTCAAATAGCCAAATTGGAGTTATCAAAAATAGTATTCAGTGTCTATGCCACTGTTTCTATTTTCAAACCGATACATCTTGTGCTCTTGTATCAAAGGCTTTATTACAAGATTTGCTTACGAGCTTAACCTTGTGGGCGTATTGTTTGATAGCGTGCCATTGAAAGGCCGGGTGGTGCCGTGCTGTGCCATCTGGATCCCCTCTGGCTGGCGGCTCAGTAGGTCAGCCAAAAACCAGAGAAAGGTCTTCCTCTCTCCTCTCTGGGCTGATGTGCCACCCCCATCCCCCCCCCATGACAGGCTTCCAGGGCAGGCAGGCAGAGTGCAAACAGCTCACCACAGATCTCTTGTTCTGGAGGTGGTTGCAGCTGCTCTTTCAAAAATAAGGGTTAGAGTTAAGTTGGCAACTGTGATTTTTTTTAATGGGAATAAAAAAGGTTTACCATTGTACAATCTTACAGTTTATTCTATAAGATTAACACGTTCTGTATAAATTGCTGTCTTAATGTTATTGGCTGAACGCACTTTGCTTGTAGAGCAGGAAAGACGGATCTCTCTGATGTTGGCAAGAGTTGGCTATAAATTAGTTCAAGTGTTTCTTTTGTGGTATTAATATTAAATGTGATTTAATAAAATGTTTTTGAAATCAACCAAGTTCATGGATATTGGCTAGAGGGAAAACAAACAAATTAAAGTACTTCATCACATTGAGGAAATACTGGAACGGGCCTCTAGCGTGCATTAGGGAAGCATGCATGAGTGATTTGTTTTTTGAGGAGAAAAATAAGAAAAATGAAAATGCTAAAATGTCCATAAAATATGTCCTGCTTAAATCCACACATTGACCTATTCTCTTTACTCTTTGTTCAGTCTACCTCCCTAACAATGTGTAACCGTCACCCCTTACTTCATTTCCTCTCCGCTTCCTGAAACGCAGGAAGTCGGGTGATTTCGTCTACCTCAGGTTGTAGAAAAATTGGGAGGGAGGAACCTCGCTAAAGGGCACTGACACCAGACATGTAGAGGGGCACTCCCTGGGTCACTCGGCTTCCTGTGTTAAAAAGTGACATCGCCACAAGTTAAAGGGCCAGGGTGCAGTATCAAGGGGCTCCATTAACAGAATTATAATTTGATATATATTGATGTTTCCCTTAGTGTTTAATTATGAGCCTTTTATGTTGCATTGCCATGTTTCTTTTACAGTAGCTCAGAAAGGGCTTCTCGCACCCATGCCAAATCCTACACACACTGTCCCTTTAAGAAAAACAGCCTTGCTCTCTAAAACGAGAACTTTACTTGCGATTTAAAGTTTTTTGTGACTGATGTGTTTCAAAGGCATATGTGAGTGCGCTATGAGTGCACTGCATACGTCACTAGCAGTTAAGCAGTGTGTGTGTGTGTGCAGCATAATTTATTCACATTCAGCTCTCCTGCACTGCTCTTTGCTTCTTCCCACACACCCATCTTTAATTCAGCACCGTGTGTCACTTCCTCCTACAACATAGCAGTGTGTGTGAGTGTTCTTTGAGGCCCTTCAAGTGTCCTTCAAACACAAAAAGACAGTCGTTCAAAAGAGTTTAGACACAATAGCAGTGGCTCACTGACTGACGCTGTGTGCTGATGCCCTGTAGTCATCATTATGTGTTTTTAAAGGCTGATCTATAGTTTGACATCATCCATGCTCATTTCCACAAGCTTCTTGACCTTTTTTCCTCCTCTTTCTACTTACTTTTTGCGCTCGGTTCTATTTCTCTCTCTCTCTGTCATTTTTTCTATCATTATCTCGCCTTGCAGCCCCTGCTGTCTTCTCTCTCCTGTCAATCAAATTCCAAATCTGTCACTGTCACACTTCATTTTCAGCTCTCTTGCCCTTTTTGCCCTTTTCTCCCTCATTACCAGTTTGTCACTCTCCTTCTGTCCTCCATCTCTTGGCTTCTGCTGTCCTTGCTCTCCATTAGTCCTTCTGGGTGTTGGTCCCTTTCTGACCCTTCCTCTTTTACTGACATCATCCAAGAAACCAGGAAGCTGCTGATTGGGACACCCCCCCTAAAAACACACCCTTGTTGTGTGTGTGTGTGTGTGTGTGTGTGTCTTAATTCAGTTGACTTTCCTGGATTGAAATAGAGTTACAGTTTTTCGTTCATGATTAACCTAGACCGAATAATGATCATAACCATATGTCAACAAATGTTTCATCTAAGGTTTTCCAGGATATGAAATCCCTTCTCCAGTCTTCCATACAATTGAAGCAGCTGTGGAGATATAATACCAATCTACTGTTCAAACAGCAGTGGTTCTTTGTTTTAAACTAGGCAGCCATAGCTGAAACACCAGGCTGCAGACTTACATCATAGTCCATGAATCCTTCAAATACCAACTCTTTTATGTACATTTCTTGTTTATATTTGAATAATAAAAACTCTTGTTTCTGCCTGTGGGATTTTGGGCTTTGGAACTAGGACACAACATTGATACTAATATATTCAGTGGTTTTTAAATAGCACCAATCTGCCAGGCAACTGTTCCTATAACTGAATCTGGTTTAGCACATGCACATCAGACAAGGGGAACATGGCATGTGTAACAAAAATGTAAAAACCTACTGAGGAATTGGACCATTTATATTGTAAAAAGTATCTATGAAACAATGTTGTCCCCCCCATCATCTTCCAAAAGTCATTGTTCTTAAAATAGTAATAAATGCAAGTTTATGCAGAATTTCAGTTATAAATGTGATTTTAAATGTCCTATTTTCTTGTTTTTATTTACTTATTTGTACATTTTCCTAAAGACATATCTCAGACCCCTAATGACAGCGAGCCCCTGGTGACTGTATCTGCAGGATAGACGCCGTCAGAGTACACCAGCTTATCAAATGCTCAAAGATTTTTTATATTGTCATTTATTGCCGGTTCTATTGCCAGGCAGCTACTGTCTAATCTGGTAGAGGTTCTAGGTGGTAGCCTGTGTGTGTGTGTGTGTGTGTGTGTGTGTACAGACAATGATTGGAATCAAATCTATAGCTTTCTAGTGTGTTTGCTGAGCACATCGATTTACAAACAGCCGTTTACACAGCGCTGCTGCAGAAAACTGACACATTGTTTTTCCATTTAGTTCAGTCTATTGCAAGAGAGGTGGTTAACCCCTAAAGCCAATCCCACACATCCATCCTCAGAATGAAAGGTTTTAGTCATCATAGCCTTACGTTAATTGCCTGCTATTCTTAATAATTACTGTGTAAATGAATATCATTTCAATCTTAAGAATGAGTTCAGCTACTCACCAAACAGTATGCAATCTCTAAGGAAAGTTGTTTTTGGACCAGCAGTGTATCTTTCTTTTTTAAAACTGAATTTAAATCACTGGTCTAATTTGTATTGTTGCCTGTAACACTTATGTTTTGTTTCCTTTGTTCTTTCAGATTTGCCCATGGAGTACAATCCCTCGGATCATCCTCGGGCCAGCACCATCTTCCTCAGCAAGTCTCAGACTGACGGTGAGCTTTTTCTTCCACCTTTAATTTCTCCCAAACCTACCTTTTGTAACTTCGCTTTTAAAGTAGGCCCAGAAAATGTCTAGGGAGGGTTGGTGAGTGTGTCTGGGGGTTACTAACGGCCAGTGTTAAATATGTCTTTGGCTGTAATTGTATCAGGCACACACAGGACCTGCTTAGATGAGGTAGATGGAGTGTAAAACGTCGTTATTGTGAGTTCTTTCTTTACTCAGAAACATAGTGCAAGACTGAAAGTATGTACTATTAGCACATGCTAATGGATAATTCTTTCAAGGAGACTCATCCAAAAACTTTTCTTGCTCTATTTGCATTCTATTAAAAGACTGTAGCTTGAAGAATGTCTCTTGGAATGTTAAAGCACTGTGAAATGATTCATGCTTCCTCTAGTACCTTGATAGAATCCCATGCACCAGTCCATTAAAAAAAAAATAGGAAAGCACATCATACTGCTTGTATACAATTCCACCCAGCTTTATGTTTGAATCATAAAAACTATAGCATACATTTACATCAATAGAATGCATCTTTTCTTACACGTCTTTCCCTATCATCCCTTAAGACCAGCCTTCAACCATTCATGTTGTTCTGAAAGTTCTTAGAAGTCTCTTTTAAAAAAACAAAAAAAACAGGGTTGCCATATGTGGCAGATTGCACATGAAGCGATGATGCATCCTGGTTAAAAAGTATTCATGAAAGTCAGACAATGGCTTATGCCACCCGCTGTTGCATTGATGCAGGGATCTTCAAATGTAGAGCTATACAGAAGCACTGTCCTTTCATCTACCAAAAAGGCTCCAGGCAGGCTCCCGTGGAAACGTTATACCAGCTGCCATTGCGTCTGATTTTAAGGCACATTTGGGTGTTTTGATCATCTCTACGAGACAGAGACTGATCCTGGACCCTTCAGAGCCTTCAGAGTGAAAGCATTTGAATCAACTGAAATGTGATGAAGTCTGTCTCTGAGATTCACTTCAGCTATAATCTCTTTACTTTGATGATAAGAGGCTTCATATTGAGAAAAGAGTGTGTAGCCCGAAGGCGGACATATTGATCTGATATCTGGTCCTGATGCTCTTTTATTTCACTAGCCCTTGTGTGTTATCTCAACATAATGTATAAAGCAAGACATAGCGACAACATGGACTTTGTATTCTTTCAGTTGGTGTGCCAAGCAAGAGAGGTAAGCACTTATATGACGGGTAGTACTATGCTTACTGTGTGTGGTCTAAGCTTTACTGTATATTCTTGTACTTGATCTGTCTCGTTTGCGGGTGACGTGCCTTCTCTGCTAACCGCTGATTTCATATTACGTGTGTGTGTTTGTGCCCATGTGTATGTTGGTCTTGATGCAACAGTATGAAAAGGCCTGCTCTGGGATGCAAACAATACGCATTTTAATTTCTAAAAGGACATATAAACCCTTTGTTTTCCTCACCAGCAACACCTGAGGAAGTTTTGACTTGTGAATAAAATAAAAGTTGGGATTAAACTGCTCTATGAAATTGTGCTTTAACATGAGCGTCATCATGTGTAGAAACCAGGATAGGCTTTTCTTTCTTATTATTGTCTCAGAAATGAATTCAGAAATCACTGCAGTAAGGATGTTATTATTTAAATAAAAGAATACAGGCCTAATCATAATGCAAGTGGCTTGTTGCTAGAAAGCAGTGCTCACAGTCACGTATGTCTAGAGGAGAAAAAGTGTGTGTGTGTGTGTGTGTGTGTGTGTGTGTGTGTGTGTGTGTGTGTGTGTGTGTGTGTGTGTGTGTGTGTGTGTGTGTGTGTGTGTGTGTGTGTGTGGCGCTCTCTAGATGTGTGTTGCTGCGCTCTGCATATGTTCTGGTTTGCTTTTCTGGCGATCTCTTTTTTTCTTCCCTTGTGTGTGCTCCTACATCAGAGCCATCCTACTATACACACACACACACATGGATGCACAAACAGACATAAGCGCTGTGTGTGCGTTGTGTTGTGGTTATAGTGCTGCCGTGCACTCAGTGAAGGGAGCTCTTTAAAACTAACAAACGCTCACGTCCATTAAGCAGATTTAGCATTTGTATGAACAGAAATAAATAAAAAGTAGCTCCGTGGCAATCCACTCTTGAATAAAGCAGCCACTATGCTTAATTTTATATGGACTCATCAAATAATGTATTCATATTCAATTAAGCACGTTAAAACACTTTCAAATGTTTGTTTTTCATCTTAAAAAGATGGTCACTAAACTGCCATGCTCCGTTTAATATAGTATAACTAGAGGAAAAAAAGCTTCCATTTCTTTTTTTAATCTATGATAGGGAATTTAACCCTAGATAAATGCTGCTCCCTGTCTGTGAGGGTTGTGTACTGCACTTGTTGAGTTTGAAATGTGTGTTGCTGTTCATACTGTTGACACTTCTCTCTCATCTTCCTTTCTAGTTCGAGAAAAGCGGAAGAGCCTTTACATCAACCATGTAAGTACGATGAAGGAAATTGTGTGTGATCAATCAAAAAGGGAAGTAGTGGAAGTTGCACTAAGGCTTAAGAACAAGATGTTATCATTTGACAGTAAATTATTTGGTAGTGTAATACTATTGTGAATGTTATAATGGTACAATTGGTGATTTGATGTCTTGTATTTTTTGCAAGTTCACACACATTTCGGAGAACAAGGTAAAGTCCTCAAAATGATCGTACCCTTGTTAGTGTTCCCTCCCTTTCAAACCCCTAAGATTGCATTTCTAGTTGTCGTTACTGTAGATGTGTGTTATGAGCTTAAATATTTAGTTAAATGTCATCATGTAGACACATCACATTATGGTGGAGTTCATCTTTTCATAATTCTTACCGTCCCAAGTTCAGCAATTGTTAAAATATGTATGTTTTTTAAGATGAGTTAGTGACTCTCTAACATTGTTTTGATTTTGAATAACCCAATTCACGTGATAAAGCTCTGGTTCAGTATGTGCCAGGAGCAAATGAGTTTAAATAAAAATGTTTTGAAAGTTCATCAGTAATTGGATGTTTGGATGCTGTCTTGAAGGTGAACTCCGCCATAAATTCCATTCCCGCATGACAGAATGAGTTTGTGGGCTCACAGGTGCTCTACTTTCAAATGTCTGTTAGCAAACTTTTTAGCTGGTCTGAGAAATAGAGTTTGACAATCATGTGTCTATCTGTCATTTTGTATGTATGTGGGTGAACTCCAGCATAATCCAGGGCTGGTGAGACGGAAGTACAGCTCATGTTCCACCATATTCCTCGATGACAGCACTGTCAGTCAGCCCAACCTCAAATACACCATCAAATGGTAACTGCATAAACTAACTCATAATCTATTCAACCTCCGTCCACACACACATGTTACCAAGTCGCCTAATGGTGGTTATAGTTTTTAATTAATTGTCTTTTTTATTCTCTTTTGTTTCTTAACAGTGTCGCCCTCGCAATATACTACCACATAAAAAACAGGTATGAGTGTTTTCATTCCTTAAATGAGTACGTGCCTCTTGATCTGTAGTCCATTTCTAAATTCGACATCATACATCAGCAGCAAAGGTTAGCAGACAAAGATAAACCTTGGCAGAAAAACATGGCGCCTTTTCAAAGCTTATGTTGAAAGTGTGATTAAATTGTTTTCCTTCGGTGATAAAATATAGCGGGTGTAGAGATATTGTGTTCTTTGTCTCTATTCACTATAATTGGTAGGAATCCCGAGTAGTGCAGCTGTTAGAAGAGCACATACATGCCCTCCAACGGCTATTTGACAGGCAATAAGACATCCTTGAGGGTGGAATTCATATTGTAAATGAAATGAGCCTCAAGCCATCTGCTCTTGATTCCTATCCTACCTGATGTTCCCTCTATCTGTTTCTCATTCCAGAGAAGTAGACGGAAGAATGGTGATAGACATTTTCGATGAGAAACTGCACCCGCTCACGGTAAGGCCTTAACAACACATACGTTTCCATTACGTGAAGGCTGTAGGGCTGTCAGGACAAAACACACAAGCTGATGAAGAATAAATACCCACACGGGGAAGGCTGTCTCCTCCATTTTGGTAAACAATAACATCAGATGCTGTGAACCGAGTGAATCATTCATTTTCATGTTGTGTGTTTTCTTGTGCTGTAGAAGTCTGAAATTCCTCCTGATTATGAAAAACACGACCCTGAGCAGAAGCAGATCTACCGTTTTGTCAGGACGCTGTTCAGCGCCGCACAGCTCACAGCCGAGTGTGCCATTGTCACGTTGGTAAGTCTGTGTGTGTGTGTGGGGGGTGTATTTTAGTTCTGACACCAGGAGGGAGTGTTGCTTTCTGATTCTCTTTGTTCCTCCCTAGTGTCAAAAGTCCTGTCTTCCTTTTCCTTACACTCTTTTCTCTCATTTATTTTTGGACCTTGTTTATTTTTTCCTAAAATCTGTTAAAGTGCCTTATAAGTCCCTCCAGAGATTGTGTCCCCTAAACAAGTTGAAAACTCCTCTAATCCTCACAGGTGAGACGAGGAAATTAGAAGGTTACACAAGAGTTGTTACGGAATAGTTTGATCTGTGCAATTTCCTTTTAGAATTACTAAGCTGTGAAGAAAGTCTGTGCCTGTAGCAAGAATATAATTGGCGCTTTATTGTACTGCAGGTTCTCTCCCCCAGACTTGTGTCCTGTTTTAAAAACACGAAAAAAGGACAGCTCTACACCCGCTTGTATTTAATGATTTCCTTAACTCTCCTCTGTTTATTTTTACAGCCTTCCAGTGTGTGCTTTCTTTTAATGATGTAACACTACAATTTCTTTAGTGGAGTTATTTGTGTTTTTTGTAATCATAAGCAATGTTATAATAGGAATATCTACACCTACATTGATATCTAAGCTTCACTTACATCTGCAGTTTTCTCTATACTTCTTTCCCCAGATTTTGGCAGCAACATTAAGTTGGAAATGAATTCTCTCTGCCTGCCCGCTCATCTGCCCAGAAATATCTCTTTCCACACTTTGTCACTATGGCCAACACGTGTGTCCCCAGAGGCCTGGAGAGTGCAGGGTTAATATGGCCGGCCTGGTGGCCTCTTATTAAGTCGCTCTACTTCCTGACAGATGCAACAACGGATGACAGAGGCACGAAACAGCGAGGCGTAGTGTCTCTTCATTTTGTCTGTAACAAAGATGTGACAGACTTAACTAAAACAGTCTGGCATATGGCCTGCTTCTGCCAGTCCCCCAGAGACCAGAGTACAGACTGGCAGGTCATCAGTAATTGAATAGAGCCGTTGGCTGGCGGTTATTGGGTTAGCTTAGCAGATAGAGCTAACTTAAGAAAGGAGTCTTCATTTGCCTCCTCACATCATAGGGTAGCAAAGGAAAGGCTTCTCCAGCAGATGGAGATGACAGAGATCAGGAAAGTCACCACAAAGGAAACACATTGCACTTAGTAACATGTGAAGCTACAGCTCCACAGCTCAAAGCTATTTTCAAGCTTATTTATTTGTGTCTCAGATAAACTATTGGTATGAAAAAAGTGAATTATTGTAGCACACTTAAAGATGTTTAATAGCAGACTGATGTGTTTTTAAAATGGATAATCCTGCTCTTATTATGGAAAGATCCCAGCTTCTTAAAGTCAGAGGCGATGCATTGTGGTTAAACAGGGTTACAGTTTGCCAACCACACTGCCTCTGGGTTGTTTGTTGTGCTTGTTATTATGGTTTTACTCCCTGTGCAGTTGCATTCATATCACTCAGCGTGTGGCCTGGCTCTCATTTCATGCGGGCTTTCTTCAATGGCTGCTGCCAGTAGGTGTATATGTGGTGTCTGTTGGCAGGCCACATCGCCACAATAGGTTAGCAAAGCCAAACCCAGCATGACGTGTCCAATTAGCCACCGGAGCTGTCTAGTAAGCGATTTAAACCAGGCTGCAAAATATAATTAACGTGTATTTTCTTGCATCTTTCACAACCTTTCCTTTCTCTTTTCAGTCCAAACCACAAGGTACTAATTGCACGTCCAACAATAGGACCGAAATAGGCACGCTCTCACAAATGATCGTCCCCCGAACAACAGTCTTTTTGGATTCTGTTTTAGATTATAAGTTACATAACACCAACAGTTCTGCCACATTGCAGCTCTGACAGAACTATAATAAATTGAGTGCACAGTATATTCCACTCTGCTATAGAAAATACAGCATTGCCACAGAAAATACTTTTCTGTCAGACTTGTCAAAGGGATGACAGATTTCAAAGCTGCGACTGGTTTGAATTCAGTTGAGCCTGCAGCACATTTTATTTTTAGAAAATAAGAAATGTAGTTCCTAGTGAGCCAGGGGAAAAAATGCTGTTTCAAGAATCTGATTTATTGTTTGTATTATGTTATCGCTGTTAGCAAATTACATGTTCAAAGTATCAGTAGTATGCTGAAGATACATATTTTTTAAATTACTGAATAGTACCAAATCCACATTGAACATTTAAAGATATTTAAATAACAGAGGAAAAATATCAAAAAACGTTAAATACTATTAGATGACAAGGATATGTTTTCACACTTATTACATAGAGGCATATTCTTTTGAAGTGTATAACGAGAGATGCACGAGCTTAAAAAAGAAACCTGTAAGCTATTCTGAAGCTTCCATCATCACTGCAGCTCTCATGCTCGACAACGGCTTTCTAACAAAAATGATGATCAGAGGAATCAGTTCCTGTACATGTATTCCTTCTGGTAAGGAACAGGTGCCCGCAGGCTCCGTGTGCTTTGTGATCTGCAGACTGTGGGAATGCTGACTACTGAACAAGAGAGAGAAATGGAAATGGGGAGAGAGCCAGTGTTTCGATCCACATGGATATGTTTTAATGAGCGAGCTCCAGGGGAAAGCTGGATTTGAATCATTTTCTGACATCTTGTTATTGTGGTTTTTACCTGGAGGAGGAGTAGGCACAGTGGCGTTTTTATATGTACAAAAGTGGTGGGGCACAAAAAACGTAGATGTCTATATATAAGCTTCTGCAGTGAGGTTCATGGGTGGTGAGACACTGACTCTTTAGGTTTACACATATTATATTTTGACCTAAATCAAAAATATAATATTATTTTCAAAAGCTTTTTTAGTCTGATGCTTCGATTAATTTTAAACAGACAGTTCAACAAAAGGATACCCAAAAAATTAATTTTATCATTTAAATATTGAATTGTTCTCTCTTAGTAAGATCCCATTTTCAATAAAATTGCGGTCTTACCTTGACTTGAAGATGAAGTCCATTTGCCTATCCTTCTCGGCAAAAATCTCTATTACTTTTTTGTAAAAATCCTCCTTATCTTCTTGTAGTTTCAAAAGTCTATCACAAATCTAATCGATAGATTTATGATTAGAAAATTATAAAAGTAGGGTAGACATGTGGATATTATCCGGCTGAACAAAACGTGCATTTATCTAACAGGTACGTTTCCCACAGATCTTATTTTGAGCTATTTTCTAAAATCCTATGGAGAAATCTCATTGCTTTTTTGTGGAGGGAACCCATGCGCAGCTTACTTCCTGGTTTTAGGACGTGTCTCTCTCTCCTCTTCACACACCACACTTTTCGCGGCACACGTACTTACAGCCAATCAGCTCTGAATTATGTGAGATGACGTATGGTGGGGATGGCAGCACTCTGCCCCTATGGTCATTATTTTTTTGCCACACACATTAAATAGGACAATACTCTGAGCATGCGCAGTGTAGTTTTTACAGTCACCGTTCACTTAGACAGTGAGAGGGAGGGGCATGATCGGGTTTTGTCCCACATGGCTCCAAACAGCTCAATAGGCACACACTGTAGACACTAATTAGAAGAACACAGACTAAAACAGCAATGTACAGACAAATCAGATGATTAAACATGATCTTAAAATATATTTATATTTATTTTCATTTTCTTTTTTGCATTTTGTTGTAATAATTATTTCTGTGCCCCACCTGCCCCTAATGACCAGCCGCCACTGAGTAGGCAGGAGACTGAAAAACAGCCTAGCAGCAAACTAACTCTGAAAGTGATCATAGACAGGGAGAGCAGAGGCTAAATGCAATGTAATGTAATTAATCACAGAAAATTATATACATAGGTAATTAGTATATAGAGAATGCATTTATACAAGCTTCTGGAACAAAAGTCAGCATTTACAGGGAGGTATGTGAAAGATTTTGTCTATTCGTAGAGTAGAAAGGTCTGTATTAATGAGATGTTAACAAGTGACATGTCTTCGTCCAAGGTGTATTTGGAGAGGCTCTTGACCTATGCTGAAATCGACATCTGCCCTGTCAACTGGAAGCGCATCGTGCTAGGAGCCATCCTCCTGGCATCCAAAGTGTGGGACGACCAGGCGGTGTGGAACGTCGACTACTGCCAGATCCTCAAGGATATCACAGTGGAGGACATGTGAGTTGCTCCACACACCCAAAATATTGCGTTTTAGAGATATGGGGGAAGTCAAAAGTGCAAATACAATGCACACACACACACACACACACACACACACACACACACACACACACACACACACACACACACACACACACAACAGAAAGGCCTTTAGACGGGTTGGTTATTGCAGCTAAATGATGGCAGCGGCTATCAGTGTTCTCTTGTGTTTAGTGTATGAAATGTAAAAAATGGTAGAGGATAATGACCCTCAGAAGATTTTTACATCTGTTCAGTAAAAATGCTGTGATTAATACGTTTTCTAGTTGTTCACTTATTGATTCGTCAACTCCTTTAAAACATGCTGTTGATCAGACTTTGTATACAGCAGTTGTTATTCACCATTCCTCTTAACAACTGTGCCTGTCTTCACCAACATTTAGTCACCATTCAGGTTCTTCCTTTGCTCATAATAGTCTGTCTTTGGGGGGGGGGGTCAGCCTGGGGTCAAAAGGTCACCTCGGGGTCAAAAGGTCACCTCATGTATGGTGTTTTGTCATAGTTTAGGCCAGTTGTTGAGCTTGGATTACTCAAACAGCGATACAATAAGTTGGCTCCTTTATTTAAAAATCAGCCTTATGATTACATTTGATCCCCTAATCAAATGTAATCTACCTTTTTGTCAGAGCAAGATTAATGTATATAAGATTGTAAAAACCATTGCACTGATAGAACTAGGGCACATTTAGTTATTTGTTCACCTTTCCCAATGAATACATATTATAAACCCACATGCTATCATGTCACCAAGCTTGGAAACAGGATAGGTTTATTAGCCTCTAACAAGCTGACAATAAGAGACACATGGCTTTTACTGAAGAAGCATCTTGAGCATGATGACCCACCGTGTGCACCACATCCGTCTTAAATCCACAGGAATCTGGAAGCTGGATTATTTTGAGAGGTAACACGAGGCTGCAGACGTGTTGCCACCGCTATGACCCCGAACTCTGATGCATTCACGCTCGTCTCCGCCGGTGTATTCTCGTCCTTGGGCTCCGATTTTACAGAGCAATAACTGCCATCCACCTGTTTGGACTCTTTCCAGTGAGAGTGTGTTCCCATATGGCAATTAACCGACAGCGACTCAGTACTCACTTTTAGCCTTTTTAAAATCCATCCTCGGGAACATATCCAGCTGAATTCCCCTTTCCACCTCCAGCAAACACACGCTTGACTGTGAAAGAACTACAGGGGAGTCTGGCAAGAACTGAGGAACACACAAAGAAATAGATGAAAATAGCTGCCACAGCCAGATAAGAAGGAAGCCGCATTATTAGGCAGAGTTTGGCTACAGTGGAGTCTAAATGTAGCCCGTCTGTTGCCGCATGCCTGTGATCACGCGTGGGTGGGAAAGAAAAGGCGAGGAGGAGGAAGAAGAAGAGGAGGATACTGCTTCTTATTAAGGTGACAATGCGAAATGAATCAGCCATGACTGAAGATAAGCACATGAAAGCGAAGGGATCACAGAGCTGTGCAGCATGAGGCAATGCAGGACAATAGCATTTTCAAGATGGGGGATTAATATTCTTTTTTATACATAATGCTTAGAGATCACTCCTTTCAGTTTGAGGAAAGGTTTATGTTCTGGGGATTTACTTGGTGTGTGTGTGTTGGTGCTGGTGCTGCACATGTGAAAAAAACACCACCTGTCTTTTGAAGATGATGGACTCATGAGCACTAACACTATATACTCTCTACAGACTGTATTTGTCATTTTAAAGATCTAACTTAACTTATTTCAATTTCGCCTAGCCATGGTTGCTAGCTTAATATCTGATTCTTTTTAGCTCACACATCCTCTCTTTCTCTCTCAAAAGGAATGAGCTGGAGCGTCAGTTTCTGGAGCTGCTGCAGTTCAACATCAACGTGCCATCCAGCGTCTACGCCAAGTATTACTTTGACCTGCGCTCCATGGCAGAGGCCAACAACCTCAGCTTCCCCCTGGAGCCCCTCAATAGAGAGAAGGCCCAGAAACTGGAGGTGAGTAGATGACATCTTAAATCCAGACCCAATTTATTGTGGCCTGAGGATGTGGTAAACAATGCACTAAGGCTATCCTGCTAATTAAGCCTCTGCTTAACACACGCGCTCACAAAACAAAGACTATAGATCATCTGGGTGAAGGACAGGTTGGAGGACTGTGTTGCTTTGTAATTAGCGCCACTGCCTCCACATCTGTCTCTCCCTCCTCTGCTTTACTGCAGTGAGCATTTAAAACAACAGCCATGATGTTAATGCTGGCAGATGCATCATTATATGCTTTATTCCTCTGTCCAAAAGACTCTATTTGACCAAAATAGACCTAAGAGAAATACATTGACTTTCTCACATTTTAAAAGAATGTTACCTTTTTATTTTGTTTTTTTGCTCTTCACAATAAAATTGAAAATATAAATAAAACTCTAACAGTATATAATAATGTATTTAAGAGTGAGAGATAGTGATCTGTCAATATGAAAAAAAATATTAAGACAAATTAATTAATTAAATATAATATGAATGTAGAGACATTGTAGATTATTTTCTGTTTAAAAGTGGAATTTCATTGGACTGTGACCATGCTTCTTAACTATTATTTGTGATAGTAATGAGAAACTGTGACCACTATTTCTCTTAAATAACAGACTTTTAAATACCAGTAAAAAAAAACATCTTAATACTTTGAGCCATTCATCTCAAAAGTTAGGAGAAAGCTGATTGTGGTCTCTCATAGTGTACACACACTGATGTTTTGTGTTGTCTTTCAGGCCATCTCTCGGTTGTGTGATGACGTATACAAGGACTTGAGGAAAAAAGCAAAGAAGCGGTCAGTGAGCGCAGACAACCTGTCGGTGGTGCGGTGGTGTCCGGCCATCATTTCCTAACACTGGGATAGTCCTGTCACACATACTGTACCTCTGCCTGGTGAACCAGGTGGGCAGCAGTCCTGTGGATCAGTACACACACATACACACAATATGGCACTTTTTTACTAATGTGATGGCACCCTCTCTGGCTGTTGTACATAAAAGAAGTTCCACTGGCTGCCTGCACTGAACCAAACAGAGCTGAGCTGAACCAAACTGAGGTGTGTGAGTGATTGGGAGGAGGACCTCAGGTGCCGAAGAGGAGGTCAAACATAAATACAAATGGCAATATATGAGAGACTACCTGATAGTGAAAATAGGATCAAGCGTAAGGCGAGAAACAACAGGCGACAACAGCGTTCCATAAATTCCCTCTGAGGCTCCATGGGCTTGTGATTGAGGAAGACCCTGTACATTCCTTTCTTTTTAATCTGGTTCAGTCATTCCCTTCCTTACATGAAGACTTTTTGACAGCTTACAGGCACATTGAAACGGTTAATTCCTCTTTTTTTTATGTCGTATATCCGTTTTTTTTGTATTCCCCATCCTGCAGAAACTCCTTCCAGCAGAACATACACAAAGGAAAGACATGTACATTCCACTGTTACCTTGTCGATAAATGTGACTGAACTACATATTGTATTTATTTACATAGTAGCCATTTATTAAAGTTCTCATAAGGTTCTGGGAATTCAACTCCCACAGTTACAGTTTCTCTTACAGCAAGGCCATATTTTAGATAAAGCTATAACTAAGAGCAATATCCATGCATTGCTTTGTTGTTGTGATGAAACGAGATTAAGCATGCATACTTTGGAAACGACTGATTGGAAGACAGCGGTCCACCACTGTCAGTGAGACGTGAGACATACTGTAGAGCTTATGTTATTCACTGCCATTGTCCTGACCTGTGGTGCCTGTAATAAGCTAGTAATCCCCTTTCTACGGCAGGAATAGAACAAATAACTGAAGTATTTTTTTTTTAACGTTTTGTACCGTTCTTCCAGCTAACAAAGAAACAGCACAAGTGAAATATTGATATTTAGGAGCCACAAAATGCATGACTTTTCAGGGTGGTTCTGGTGACTACCCAAATGAATGAAAAACATTATTCAAACACTGCTTACAAAAAGATAGATTGTATACATTTTGCTATATCGTCTCTGTACAGTGTAAATACAGCGCCGGTGTGCATAATCTGTAGACTGAGGTTGTACTGTAAAACAAAAAACAGAATGAAGTTGGAATATGTATATTGGATCAGTTTTACTGTACACGAGGGGGATAGTAAATATGTTTGATTCCTTGTTCATATGAAAAAAATCCATTAAAAACTAAAGTGAAGTATTCAGATATAAATGGGAGATACCACTTGAGATTTTTGGTCTTTTTTATTGTTACAAAGCAGAAAATGCCATGATTTCATATGTTGTATGATGTATACGAGTCAATTCAGTCTTATTTCATTATTTCTTCAAAATTTGTTTTAACCCACGCCTGTGGAAACATTGCCATATTTATTTTCTTTAGCGATCATGCTTGTTTGTTATTGACACAATGAATTAAAAGGTTATCACTTTAGTCAAAATACACTATGACTAAATACATTAAGCGCACATTTAAAGCTGAATAATATTAGTCTTAATGTGTTCAGTAATATCTTTGACTTTGCTGATAACCTTTTATAATTTATCGTCAGTTTCTTTTCCTGGAAATAAGTGAAACTGTCAATCTGAATTTTTTTTCATCAACAAATCACTTCCTGGTTTTCTTGACCTTTTCTTAAAATCGGAAATTTGAAAATGTACAGGCATCTAATAAAGGGTTAAACCTTAAGATAGTTAATTTGATGTTTGGACACTTCAATGGGTCAAAAGTGTGAAGTAATGCTTCTATTATATAAACTTCATTACAATTACATTATGGCCAATGGACTCCAATTTTCCTGAGAAGATAGCAAACTGACTGGAAAGGTGTGAAAACGGCTCAAAAGCTTTTTTAAAGAATGATATGGTCAGATGAAGTTCCACATTAATTTGTGACATCGGCACATAGCTTCCTAAACATCTCGAGCTTATTTTGTGCATTTCATCTGCAATTTTCACATCTGATACAAGTTATATTGTGTGTCAAGCTACGAAAGATTCCGTCAGGCTGCCAGGTTAGCGACATTTAGACAGCAGGTGTGAGAAAAACCGTACCAAAGTCGCGGAGAAATGAACGACGATCCTGTTGGGCGTCTTGCTCTGACCCGGCGCACTTGGAATACGGTGGAAGGTGTTGGGTCCTGGAAAGAGAACTGTTGTTTTGCATGGTGCTTTGAACGAGTGCAAAATGTGTCTTTAGGAAAGTAAGGTATTCGGAGTTGCTGTTGTGAGTTCAAACTGTTAGAGGTATTCAAAGATTGTATATCCTATTTATTGTATGTGTTTGCATACAGCCCAGTCTGGTGTTTTGTAGACCCAGAAGTGAGTCCTGAAGTGAAAAATGTACTCCGACAGTAAAGACCCTGTCGGCGGGTTAATAGGTGTGTGTCATAGCCTTGTGCACTGAACTCTACCTCTGCATAGAGTTTTACTTTTCTCTCCATTTTTATTCCTCTCTTCAACGAAAACTCTAGGATTCCTCAAATTCAGCTTTGATCATGAGTTGATTAGTGAGCTGTGACTTTTTTTTTTCATTGATATTTTCCACATCTTGTGTTATTATCGTAAGTGTAATATTTTCTTTTCCATGGCCATTCTGTTCCTGTTTTCAATTTGCCAACTTCTCTCTTTTTCTCTCTGTTTTCATTTAATGAACTGCTCCCAATTCTTCTCTTCTCAAGCAATGTTTAGTAAAACCTGTGCAAGGAATAAACTTTAAAACCTTGCAATAAACCCAGTGTATGTCTCTTTATTAATCTAAAAACAGTTATAATGACTCCGGTTGAATAATCATTTCTTACCAAGGTATCACAAGTGCTTTCCGGGTAGCTGTCACAATTGCGATCACTGTATTGTACTCAGCAGGGTTTCATCTGTCAGAAAACATGATTTGAATGGTTTAGAGCGAATGGTAATCCAGAGATTACACTCTGCTACTTTGTCACTGAGGGACACGTTTAATCCTCCCTGTTAGCGTTGATTTGCATTTCAATTGCTGCTCTGGTAATTGCTCTACAGGTCGATTCAAAGAGATGAGGAGGTTCTGTGAGATTTAGTGGGAAAGATTGCCAAACATCTCTTATGAACATGTGCATTAAAAAATATTGTCGGCGGACCCATCCTTGGAACCACATATCTTGGGTTAAAGAACAAATACAGCTCTTGTTTAGTTTGACTAAACTAAATTACTTTTGGGTTCAGAAAGCATAGTTAAAGATCCATGGTAGCCATCTCTAGACTGCCATTCTTCAATACACTAAATAATTAATGTAAGAGTTTGATCTCTAGCCAAAGTCATTCCTCTAGTGATATATGCAATAGGGTTGGTTAAAGTTTGTGTCAAGCCAATTTTTTACACATCCAAATGACCTAGAGAAACATTTGCATTCATTGTTGAGCTTTTTGGCAACAGTAGGCTAAGCCCTGTTTTTGTATCTTAGTACAAAAAGCTCCACAAAGATCAACAGATCATTGCTAACTTGTTTCTCTGCTGTTTGGTGTTGTGCATGTAATGTACAGATAAACGTATTCCTGCTGTTGTTGCTAACACGGTTAATGAGAGCGATGAGATAAACCTAAAAGGTGAAATTGTGACCCAAAAACGTAAAACAATATGCGTAAAGATGCTTAAGTGCACTGTTGAGCTAAAGGGTGCTGCTATGTCGAGTATTGGAACATGCTTGTTTTAGGAATCTGAATGACTCCTAACACAAGCACATGGTCGTTTTTCATCCAGTGTTCATCCAATGATAAAACCAGGTCAGATCCCTTAAGACTATAGCATTACAGTTTTCAATGTTGTTTGTGGGCTTTTGAAAGCCTTTCGAAATTCTGAGGGGATGTTTGAGCCACCCTATGTGCATTGATAATGCATAGGCTGTTCAGGCACAACAGAGAAATACCCCGCCCCACCATCTCCCTCACTGCTAATGGGCAAATGTGGACCAGCTGCGGGATCAGGTAATGACCCGAAGAGCAGCTGCTGGACTGGATAGTTAGTATGTATGGAAGGGACCTAAATTGATCAAGTTCTTATATTGCCAATATGGCGTCAAAGACTTGAAGGGCATTCACACTCTAGAACAAAAGACAAAATAATACATGAGCAGAATAACCCAAGGCATGGGGGCTCTATTATTAGTGTGAATGCTGTGCAACAGCATTACTGTGGTTACGATTTACTCCATCATAATATTGTTTCAATCTAATAAATGTCTAGTGAATCACAATAGAAAATGTGTGTTCTATAGTTAGCTGAGGGCATCTATAACATCGGGAAAACAAACATGTTTACAAAGAGCTGATTCAGTTAGAAATAAATACACCATCTACCTTCATCATTACAAACACAATAGCTTAAAAAAAGCTCAACATATTACTGGGGAAATATAAAATGTGCTGCTGCAGGTCATCTGCTCAATCAGTGAAAGTGAAAACAGGTGTGCCTAATTATCCATAAGAAGCAGTAACTTGGCAATTCCAAGTAGTGGGGGAAGGGGGGAAACCTTTTCAGTTGGTGACAGTGTATCAACGTGTGTGCACTTGTGTGTGAGCTTTTGTATGCCAATTGAAAACTTAACATGTTGATATTACTGTGACTAAATATATTGAAGTCATTTATTTCTTATTGAGTCATTTATTTTTAGATTTTTACCTCTTCAGCTCACCCTATGCTTACCTGAGCAGATGGTATGTTCCAGTTTAAATAAGGAGGTCGGAGTTGATCTCCTCTGTATGTGTGCATGTGGCAACGAGTGTGTTGTGGATTTGTTTTGGTGGTTTTTACTTTGATTTTACTTGCATTTCTTGGGTTTTAGAGATGAATCCCCCTCCCCTCTTTCCCAATGTTCACACATCGACGTCTCTTTAAATGCAAAGTCAGTTTAAAGGTCACCTATTATGCAAAATCCACTATTTCATGTCTTTTATACAAAAACATGTGTCCCCTCTGTGTAAAGAGATTCTGAAAGTTTCAGGAAAAAAGATTCGCTCACTTTTTGTCCTGATCTATTTATATAAAAACCTGCCTGAAAATGAGCTGATCAGATTTGGGCCACTTTATGATGTCATTACAATGTTTTGGCTTGTGTAACCATTAGCCAATAACCAACCAAGGTAACCCCCCCACACACACCTTATCACCTGAATCTCCTCCTAGAGCACCTTTTTGTTATTTTCAACTAAATATCTCTCAGAGGGTCGTGGGGAGTGGCAACTTATTTTCAGATTCTAAAGCAACAGACAGAGAATCAGCACTTTTGAAACAGGGCTGAAACAGAGGGGTTTATGGGATGCTAAAATGCATGATCTGTTTGGTATTTGGAGCCAAACACTTCAGAGACATGTTTGTATATATCTGAGACCTATAATATATTGATGAAAAACAGTATAATAGGGGAACTTTAAATGAATTGCAGGTACAGTTATTTATCTGTTTTCAAGTTTAAAGCTCAATATCACAAACTTTATTTTCAACAGAATCTCACTCTCTTTTGTCTACGTATTCGTGTGCAAACGAGTGTCGGCGCCGCGGGACTTCCACAACGTGTGTTTAGGTGCGAAGTGGACGAAGTAAGGACAAAATCCTCCTCCTATTGGTCGCCTTTCTCCTCCTAGTCCTGTGCCTCCTTTCTAGTAGGTGTTACCTTGGTGGTGGAAAGGGACTTTTCATTCGTGTAAACCTATTTTTTACTCTATATGAAAAAGTTGAAAGGCTGTTTTTGTAAATTACGTCTTTGGAACAGTACCCTTCAGTTGAGTGGGTAAAGTTCCCACCTACCAACTAAAACTAACTGTCGGTCCTACTTCTACTGGATGTCTCCGCGTGGAACGCTAGGACCGATACGCGAACGGGCGGGCGACTTCCGGGAGGTTTTAGGAGAGATATAAAAGGTCAAGGTCCGCGCATTCCCATTTCGGAACCGTGCAGTACCGGGAGTGTAAGGATTGAAGGGGATTGGAAAGGTGGTATTCTACGCCGGAAGGTCATCGTCGTATATTGGAGGTGGTGGGGGGCTACGCCCACTGAGTCTCATCATACCTGTGTAGAGGGAGAGACCGATCCTGATACACGGTGGCCAGAAACGGCATCCCTATTTATGTTCTCGACTAAGGTAAACTCAGTGGTTTAGGAGGAAATTTCTGGGTAACGATTTATAAAGACAGAGTCGTAAGATGGAGACAGGGACGTCTGGTGACAGAGACGAGGAAGTCTGTTGTCTTCTGCCCTCCCACGTCCGGGACTACGACCGGGCAGGAATAAGAATTGTTGTTGAAACGGTTTCCGCTGCAACGCCGACAGGACCGTAACGTCCTGCTATAAAACGCCGACGGCGACGCAGCAGGAATGTCCCTCTCATTGGTCGCGGAGGTCCGAATGAGTGAGGTTTGAACGCACGATAAATTGCAAAGTTCCGTTGTTACCGTTCGGGTACGCAAGACAGTCGGGGAATTTGTTTATTTTTTTGGTATTGACGACGCAGAAGGTTACCTGTGTACGACTTCCATAGTAAATCTATTACGTCTGACACCGTAGATAAGTTTACGTTCGATCCAACGATCTCGCAAAAAAGTGTAAACTTTGATAATAGACAAAGAGACTCTAATAAGAGGTTCAAATTTCTAATTTACGTAGTGAGACGATTAGTCGGTAAACAGGAGGCATAAGATTTTACCAAAATGCTGACCCGTAATCAAATAAAGCGACAGTAGGGTGGAACGGAAGTATCTGTTGGCCCAGAGGCGGCCGCCGGCTGTGTACCTAACTGAAGTATAGGTGATGTCTAGTTGGGGCCGAGTATCGTTGAGGTAGAGGAGAGGCCGGGAGCTGGTCATATCTTAGGGTGGTGTCGAGTAAAACCTGGTGCCAGCGTTTCTGATTCATAA